TTCCCTAGGGCAGACAATATTTAGTTAATGCTAATTTCCTCCTTGCCATCTACATCATTGTTCCCAATATAATAAACCCAGCTTTCCAGATAAGTATAATTTTAAAAAAGTGAAAGAAGTGAGAGAAAATAGCCTCAAATGTGTTATGCTTTTTCAGCCCAAAGGAAGCATACCTCTGAAATTTCATTAAAATCTTTCTCTTGACAAATGTGTAGTTTGGTGTGTGTGTTTTCACTTCTGTCTACAATGGAAACAGGTCATTTAAGAATTCATAATCTATCAGATGTATAGTATATAAACTGTTAAACAAAGTGAATCAAATCATGCCCTTAATTATGTTGCTGCCAATGCTAAGTAACTCCACCAAAGTCTGCAGGGGCTGTGCACTGTAAATTAAACCAGGATCTGATCCAGTAATAAGTCTGGCCATTGGTTCAATTGGTCAAACTGACTTTAGAGGAATTTATGAAAAACAAGACCAAATCTTGCCCTACTTTTTACAGTGCCTAGCAGAATGAGGCCTTGATTCTGACTGGGGATTCTGGATGTTATGCAGTGCAACTATATAGTAGTAATATGCAAAAAAAAAAAATTACTCAGATAAAGTTCAAGATCCGACTGTATGGCACTTTCACATACGTTGCTCCAGACAGAACTTGAGCAGGGTTGAATAGGTGCATGCTTAGATAACTAAGTCAACTTATTCACTTCATACATGGAGCAGGATCTGGTCATATGTATTTTTTTCTCCTTTCTCTGGTCTTTACCCCCACCAAATAATTGCAGACAGAGATCATGACTCCTCTATAGCCAAGTTAGAAATATTTAGTTTTTATTATTTAGTTATTATGTCAGCCCCTTCAGCCTCCTAGATTCATGGATTCATTCATTCATCTGGGTGCAGTGAGTAGAGAAAGATCTAGAACTGATATTCCATCAGAGCCATAGGGAAATGTGATGTATATGCAGCTGCAGGTTATAACAGGCATTTTTAAAGCTATAGTGCTTTGTAAATTGCTATCTAATTTCATATCTGGTGTCAACCTCCTGACATTCTTGGCATTACTGCTTTATAGGGCTCATCCTCCCTTTGACTGTTTCAGGTATATTTTTCACCAGATACATTCTCTCCATTTTCCAAGTTCAACTCTGTTGCTTCCCCAAAAGTCTTTTCCAATATTCCCCAGACTTGCTTCCTGAGACTGTTATTCACTACCCTGCCTTCTCCTGTCCTCTCCTCCAATCTGCTGTTACCTACTCTTGCCCCTTTTCCTGCTCAAACCATTCCCCTATTCCCCTTAGAAGAGCAGAAAACATAAGGCAGAAGAAACATTAGGGATCTGAGGCCTCTTCCCAGTTTTGGTGTCATTATTCAACTTCCAACAGATTCTAAAGTTTCATTTTCAAAAATCTCAGCCTAGGTTGTGTCCTTCTCTACCTGGCCAGATATAGTCCATGTCTACACAAGACACTGACTGTGCAGTTATTACTGCGCACTTATTTAATACTTATATAAGCAAGTATTAAACTACAGCACAGTAACCCAAGTGCCACCGAACGCCTTTTTTGTGATGTTACTGTGCAGTATCCTGGTACTATTGTACAGTAGTGTCACATCATGGTTCTGCCACACAACGCTACTGCCCAGTAGCATCGAGCTACTGTACAGTCAACATCTCATGTAAATACGGCCATAGAGTAGAATGCCAAGAAACATGCAGTTGGTTGCTAACTGAACTTCAATGCAACTGTTATCTATGAGTGCTCCTGTAGCAGTACAAGTATAACTAAACCATTGCAACATAAACCTGTTTCATTCATGATTAAATTGGGGGAATATAGTATCACTCTGGGAGCAGGCTGAGATAACAGTTGCTCCTGGGTGTTCTCAAGCAGCACCATGCCCCACCCCTCCCTTTAGAAGCATTTAAATTTACCTCGCTCCATAAGATTTTGTTTCAATTCACTTTTTTAAATTCCCTTATGTTAAAAAGGTATTTTTTCCACGCTCTCAAAAATAGCATAAGGTTTTCTAAGGAAAAAGAAATATGAACTCTCCAGAATTTGAAAAAGGGGGGAAAAAAAACAACTACACTATAAGAACATGAGATAGCATTCGCTAATTGGGCAAGGAGTAGTTTGGTGTTCATCTGTGTATGGTACCATATTTTCGTGCATATGCTGCACACCTT